ATTTGAGAAGCATGCCCACTATTCCTTCATCCAAATCACTGATAAAGATGTTGAAGATTCTGTGCTTTGGCTTTCCTGACTTTAACCCTACATGTGCTAGCTACCTGTTTAAATTCCTCTTCTATGATTTCGCCCCTTTTCCATTTCTTATACATCTCCCATTTAAAACTTAGTTCAGTTGAAAGTTCTTTTGTCATCCAACCCAGTTTCTTGTGGTCATTGGAACAGATTGTGATTGTGCCTTCAGTATCTCCCTTTTGAGAAATTCTCATCCATCCTGAACTCCCTTCTCTTTTAGTATTCCTGACCATGGGATCACTCCCAATGTTTCCCTAAGTTTGTTGAAATCAGCTCTCCTAAAGTCTAGAATGAGTGTTTGACTATGCCTGGCTTCTCCTTTCCACTATATAAGAAACTCCAGGAGAAAATGATCACTCCCACCTAAGGATCTCACCACTTGCACCCCATTTACCAGGTCATCCCTGTTGGTTAGGATCAGATCTAAAATAGCTGATCCCCTTGTTGTCTTTCACCCTTTGGACAAACAAATTGTCTTCGAGGCAAGTGAAGGATTTGCTAGACCTTGAAGTATTGGCTGAGTGTAACTTCCAGCAAATATCAGGATAGTTGAAGTCACCCATCACTACTACATCTCTCCTTTCTGAGTGTGTGGTCATCTGTTCTAGAAAGGCATCATCCAATTCCTCAGTCTGACTTGGGGATCTGTAGTAGAATCCCACTATAATATCCCTGTTGTTTCCTTCCCCTTTAATTTTTATCCAGATGCTCTCCATCTTATTTCCAGGATTTAAGTCCTGGATCTCTTCACAGGTGAAACATCCCTGACATATAATGCTATTCCTCCTCCTTTCCTGTTTGGCCTATTTCTCTTAAAAAGGTTATACTCCTCTATTCCTACATTCCAATCATGAGACTCATCCCACCAGGTTTCAGTGATGCCTATTATATTGTATTTGCTTTGTTGTGCTAGGAGTTCAAGTCCATCTTGTTTATTTCCCATTCTCTGCCAAACTGACTCAAAATGGCTCTCTCTATAAATGTATCAAATAAATTATATAAATAATTTGTTTATAAGAAATAGTAAATAGAAAACGTATATGTTATGCAAAACTGTTTTTGCAATACTGTGGGACCTTCGTATACACAAGGGATCCATTTTGGACCACCACCACCCCACATAAGGCATAGAACGCATGACCTCAAGTCCCATTTGTTTTAATGGCCACTTGTACTGCAGGCACATGTGTCATTATAACTTCCGGCGCTTGCCAAACACGTAAGCTTGAAGCTGCATGTGTCGTAGGCACACTCTATGTCAATATTCAGCATGTGCCACAATGATATACTACCTAAACACTGTATGATTGCTATCAGATATTTGAAGAAGAAGAAGAAGTAAACAAAGACATTGAGTGTTGAATGTGTAAAGCTGGTTTTACAGATAAAAGTGTATTCCTGGTGGCAAAAGCAATATATAAGCCATATCTAAGCACTGTTCAGAAGGATTTTTATGTTCCCTATAACTTGAGTTATCATACAATAAGAAATTCATCTGTCTAAGAAATGAAGGCTGGTTTATGGGTTTTTTTAGCTAGATATGGAAAAAGTAGAAACTGACCTCACCGATTAGAAACGTGCAAATAATTTCAGCAGAAAATGAAGCCCAGTGGTAAAACAACAACAAGGCTATGCACACAGTAAACTTTTAATTATTTTGACAGCAGAAAATAAAACTGTTTGTACCATTTTTTCCATATATGCAGAGAGAGATTTCTTCATTAATTTATTACATGTAAACCCTCTATTTCCAATAAAAATAATGCTCATGATAGCTAAGCTCTCTTCTGCTTAGAAGATCTGTGTTGAAAGGAAATGTTACCACAACTTATTTGCGCCATGAATTTTTCATCACAAAAGAATGCTGTACAATAATATTACAGTGCAATAATAATGAAGGTGAAATACTTTGATCACTAGAACACCTTTTAAAATAGTATAAAGCATATTTCATGGCAAACAATGTCATTGACTCAAACATGAGGATAAAAGCTACATCTGCTTCAAAGACATTACTGAGCCAGTAGTAGTATACACTAGAGCAAACATTAGGGGGCTCTTCTGTAGCAGAAATCAAAAATAGAGTGTAAGATATCTTGAAGGACTCAAGAGGAATTAGACAGTAATCCAACATGAATGCATCAGACCATTTTGATCAGACAAGTTCCACTTACTGTGAAGCTAATACCAAAGTATGCACCGAGATCATTTATATAGCTCAAAAACAAGCACAGGAAGGAGATTATCTTTTCCTTCTTTCATAAATTAGTCAGGTCAGCTCACCACCATCTGCTTATAAAAGTTTTCTAAAATTTAAAGTTTGATTTCAAGTTCTCCTCTCTCAGTCAGCTCACAATTACACTTGATTCCAATGTGATCTTACACGTGATATGCGGCAAAAAAGTGTAAGAATTGATGGTACTTTCAAATACAGTGATTTCTATGATCATGCCACCTCAAATGTGTACTGTTGTAATCATAAAAAATAACCAGAAATCAATGAAGCAAATACATATTTTTCATCAAACTACTTTTGTCATGGAACAGGCTACCTAGGAACGGTTACTGGTGACAATACTAAGAAGAATACATATGTTACCTAGTTTGGAATCTTAGGATCTTAGTGTATTCTTTCGTTTTCCTCAAAGAAAAGATTTACTTTCTGGAGTCTTAAGTTTTGTCAATTCACTATATTTGCAATATACTGTTTACACAAGAGAAATACTCAGAGGCAACTTACTAAAATACCTGAATTTAAAAATTACTTCTCATTCTCACCTTCCTGAGAATGAAATAAATACAGCGCACCCGCACCATATGCAGGCTTGCCATATGCGAACTCAAGGTCATGCGGACGGCTAGCCCCGGAAGAATGAATGTTGCAGGCGGGAGCATGCCCCCATTAAAACAAACGGGGCTTGAGTTTATATGTTTTTACCATATGCCGGGGGGGGAGGTCCAGAATGGATCCCCCACATATAGGAAGGGCCCACTGCAGTTACTAATTTTGTTGTTGTTGTGTGCTTCCAAATCATTTCCAATTTATGGTAACACTATCACAGGGTTTAATTGGTAAGTTTCTTCTGAGGGGGTTTGCCACTGCCATCCACCAAGACCGAGAAAGTGTGACTTGCCCAAGGTCACCCAATGGATTTTATAGTCAAGCAGGGATTGAACCCTGTTCTCCAGAGTTATAGTCCAACCACTACACCATGGTTAAATTATGTCATTATAATACCTATAATGCTAGCTTAAGATGTATGCACACACAGGGGACATTCTTCTGATATGGATGATCCTAGAATTAATTTCTTCCTGTTCTGGGGGGAGTGGGGGTGGGGTTATATTTCCCCAAGAAAAGCAAATTCACAGTTTAGGACTGTTATTGAACTGTTTCCAGATGCTTGGGGTAATTCATGACTGCTAACTGTATCCACCCTGCATGATAAAGAGATATTTCATAAGAAAGAGCAAAAGGTAGCTTTCCTCATTCTCATATTCTATAGGCCTAAATCAGGTTGGGGTGAATGAGGTAACGCTAATTACACCACAAGGGTGCAATTGGTCCTTTTGGAGCACATGGGGGCCAAAATGGGAGGAAAGGATTCAGGGTGGCTTTTTGAGATACCAGTGGTAGTTGTGGCCTCTAGAGGTTGCTTATCACACACCACAATACTCCTCACCGGCTACCTGCACAACTGGAAAGATCTCAAGGAGATAGAAAAAAAAATCTTTTACTTTTGCTTTACCCCTTAATACTCACACACACAATATTCCTACTTTAGGCTATCCAGAAACCTGAACAGCAGTATTTCTTTTAGAGCCATGGCTACACAGAAACAATCTATTATAGATTCCATTGTTAGCATATTATGCTACTCTTGCACATTTGGTCTTAAAAACACTTAAAATTCTAAATCTGAGAGAGAATCAATTCTTTTTTGTTACTTAAGTAGTACCTTACCAAGCCAATGTGGTATAGCGGTCTGAGTGTTGCACTATTACTCTGGAGAACAGGGTTCGAATCCCTCCATTGCCATGGAAATCCACTGGGTGACCTTGGGGCAATTTACATTCTCTCAGCCTCAGAGGAAGGCAAAGGTAAAAAAGCCCTCTGAACAAATCTTACCAAGAAAAACCTGTGGTAAGTTCCCCTTAGGCTTAGAAACTAATTGGAGATGCACAATAACAACAAATGCCTTACCTCTTCATAAAGTACGTGCATACTGTGCATCAACTATATACTATAAATATGTTCAGTCTAAAATAGTTTAAAAGATGTCTCTCATTCTTATCTCAATTACCAAAAAACCAATTCCCATTTCATTTCAAGGGCTTTATTCAAAACCTCCTGAGCTATATAGGTACTGGAAGAATTTTGTAAAGTTACGTACCGCCTTTTAAATCAGCTGATGCCCCCACATACTGGAAGTTGTCCATATTAATCACATCAATTATAGGAGACACAACTCGGGTCCTGTCCTGGGGGAAAAAATGAAACAAAGGTTAGTATATAACATTCAGCCATGGAAGGCTGGGGAACTTTTGATATGATGAGATGTGTGTCATAAAATCCATGCAAAGGCATGTTTCTTACCCATCCCTCCAAACAGAGCTCTGAATAGAGACAGTCAGATTAAAATGGCACCTGTTCTAATAACCTCCAAACTGTAACAATATAATATGGTGTATGTGGGGCAAACTCTGCAGTCCACCCAGAAGCTTTCCTGGTGCAGAATACATTGACCAATCGTGTAACCAGTACCCCAGGGGAAATGAGTTATGAGTTTGTTTATTGCTAAAAGCTATAAGCCATTACAAGTCAATATAATTAAGGTAAAATATAAACAAATAAAGTATAATAATAATAAATAAATTTTAAATACAATACAGGTAACAAGCAAGTATACAAAAATGTACATATGCAAAAATATAAAATCATCTTTCATATAAATTAAAGAAGGAATGATATAAATTATACAAATTAAATATAAATTAAATTATGTTATATAAATTAAATTATACAAATACAATATAAATTAAATTAAATATAAATTAAAAGGGGAATTATATTACACTGAATCTGAAGGAGCTCCACTGGTTGCCTACTTATTTCTGAACAAAATTCAAAATGCTCAGGAATGAAATATCTGTATGCCTCTTCTTCTACCAGCCAGGTCAAGATATATGATTGTCTGGGAATCTTTGGCAAATACCTCATATACATTTTGTGGCAAAAAAAGAAACAGCTTCTCAGCTATGGCACCAGATATGAGGAATATCTTCCCCATCATAATGCAATTCTAACTCAAAATCTTTTTACTTGTCTAGCAATTGTAAATGGCTGGTTTTGTTCTGTTTATTTTCTGTCTTTTCCATTTTGATTGCAATGTGTGTTAACTGCACTGTGTATTGATTTATTTGTATTTGTGCACTGCCCTGTCAACTGCAAGGATGAGGAGCAGGTTTGACATGTTTTAATAGATAAAAAGTAAAATGTATTAGGAGGGAAATGTTTCTCTACAAATTAGTGTGTCTTGCATGTTCAACTCCCATGTGGTTAATGTTACATCTTATTTATAGAGTAGCTACTATTTTATAAAACATGTAGTGAGTAAATTTGTACCTGATCTTTAACCTACTAAGTATCCAGTGAGGGACATCAGATAAAAGACTTGTTCAAGGAATCTCCACTGAACTGTGTCCAGGCAGGGATTCAAATTTAAGTTTCCCACATTCAGTGCCAACAATCCAGCCAATGCACCACATTTCTCCTAATTTAGAAACAAAATGTTCTCCTACAGGTTGAACCTCCAACAAAATGCTACAGCAGGGAATTCTTCTGTTTGGCATTCTAGTCAGTCATGCCCCCTCCTCCAGGATACTTTATGCCATTTCATCTATTCCCAAGCCCAGAGTACTCCTCCCTGCTGATTTTCCTGTTATATTAGGTTTTACGTTTCTCAAAACTATAGGGTTTCCATAATTAAGCTGATATTTACTTCATGTGTAGGTGGTTCCATTTGGCCACATAAGCAATGCCATACAAGGAAATTATCACTGTAAAGTCCAAGCTAGTACTGCTAAGCACAATATGCTATATCTAACAAGTGTACCATTTACCAAGATTCTAACACTGACTATAAGAACGATGACATATTATATAGAAATTTCCTAAAATTAAAGGGAACACCAAACAAAAGTAACAAAAATTTGCTTTGCAGTGAAAGGAATTTTATGTCAGCTCTACCATAATAGGGATGTGGTGGCTTAGTGGTTAAGACGCCAATTCTGGTGATCAGAAAATGGGAAGGTTGGCAGTTTGAGGCCCAAGTGCTGCATGATGGGGTGAGCCCCTGTCACTAGTCCCAGCTTCTGCCAAACTAGCAGTTCAAAAGCATGCAAATGCAAGCTGATAAATAGGTACACTTCAGTGGGAAGGTGACAGAGTTCAGTGCAGTCATTCTCACCACATGACCAGCAGAGCAGTCCTCGGACAACTAGCTCTTCAGCTTAGTAACGGAGATGAGCACCACCCCCTACATTCGGTTATGACTAGGCATTCATGTCAAGGGACCACCTTCACCTTTACCTACCATAATACATAAGATGACCCTAAAGGCACCAGATCCCATCTGATCTTGGAACCAAAGCAGGGTCAGCTCTGATTAGTACTTGAATGGGAGACTGCCAAGGAATACCAGGTGCTGTGGACTATATTTCAGAGGAAGGAACTGACAAAACCACCTCTAAGTATTTCTTACCTAAGAAAACCCTATGAAATTCATGGGGTCACCATATGTTAATAGATGACTTGAAGGTATACAAACAAACACAATAGCATCTACAGTACTAACTACCTTTTCATGTATACAGGCTACTCCAAGCTCATAATCACTGGAAGTGCTCATGGTGTACTTTCTGATAGGATGATTTATAAAACTTGTTACTGTGTGCCTTCAAGTAATCTCTGACTTATGGCACCCCTAAGGCTTTTGTTGCCAAGATTTGTTCAGAGGAGGTTTACCTTTGCCTTTCTTTGAAGCTGAGAGAGTGTGACTTGTTCAAGGTCACACAGTGACCAAGCAGGGATTCAAACCCTGTTCTCCAGAGCTGTAGTACAATGCTCAAACAATTACCACACTGACTCTTACAGAACTACAGTACGATAATGGCCTAGATCTGCAGCTCTACAGAATGCTGCACTCCCACAAATGATATTGTAAGCACTACCAGAAGGCTTCCTAGAGCTCTTGCTCCTTTTGGAGAACAAACGCCTATCCTAAGAAGTTTGGATTTTGCTTTCAAAGAGAATTAAGAAAGGGATTAAGAAGGATGAAAGGATGAGAAAGGAAGTGTGGGTTTTGGCCATGATGGGAGCTGCAACCCCCATTGAGTTCAGGAGGAACCCATAACCACAGCACGATTGAGGGGTAGTAATGGCAACTTGTAAATAATATGTGACATTAGTTTCACCCTTTGGGACAGAAAATTAAATGTTAATGGTCTGCCTAACAGATGTAATAATTCTTCTCTTCAGAATATCATTCCAAGCTATGCATGCACCACAATTATGGTGCCAAGATAACCCCCTCTCTTGTAAGCCTGAGAAATCACTTTCTGTGGAAACTATTCTCTTCCTCCAGGATAGATTTTAAATTGTTTTGAATAATATTTGAAAGACTAACAGATGGGATTTTTTTAATAGAATTATTTTTAGACATTAGATTAGAATTGATTACAACCATTATGTTCTAAAAGGCACCACAGCACTTGAGTAGGACCATTTCTGGCCCAGCAGTCTGTGTACCTTATAACTAACCTCAGCTACCCTTTCCAGAAGAGGCTCCAGCCAGTGTTCATTGCATTCACAGTGACTATCCAAGAATGTCAGTACTTTAGCCTGGGCTGCGTCTGCTCCTCGAACACGAGAGCGCATCAAACCTGAAAATCAAGATGACATATTAGCCAATTGCTTTTATGTTCACCATTTGATCACGAGATTCAGTCTAAGACAAGCCCAGTTACAAAGGCAAAACAATTCATTTACCAATCAACTTCCCTGACACTAAGGATGCCTTGAATGTTACTTCACAGCTTGCTATAGGGGCACTTCAATTCCCAAGAACAAATTTTCTAAGATAAAACAGAACTCCCTCTCTACCATTATCCATGCTGCTCTGGGAGGGGGCATAAGATCAACAGGAGAACAAATAAAGTTCAAATTGGGTTCTGAACTAAAAGAACTAGATTCTAGGGTAGGCTTTTGTTAGTAGAAAATAGTTCTATTTGCCAGCCCCATTCTTGAATCAATCTCAGGCTCATCCACCACTATCTTCCTAGAAACTGCTGGTATTAGAAGTAGTGCTTCTTAGAGGTTTTTGAAGAGAGGCTGGATGGTCATCTGTTGGGAGTGCTTTGATGTTGTATTCCTGTTGGATTGGGTAGGGGTTGGATTGGGTACCCCTTGTGCTATCTTCCAACTCTAGGATTCTAAGAACACATTGAAGATGAGACTTAAGGCCTTTACAGACTGCAGAAATAGTGCAGCTTGAGGCCACTTTAACTGTCCTGGCTCAGTGCTAGGGAATCATAGGAATTGTATTTTTTCTGGGACATTGAGCCTTCTCTGTCAGAGAACTCTGGTGCCACAATAAACTACTGTTCCCATGATTCCTTAGCCCTGAGCCAGGACAGTTAAAGTGGCTTCAAGTTGCACTATTTCTGGCAGCCTGTAAAAGCCCATGATAATCATCATCTCACTATTTGGTTGAAAAATCCGAGAATGATTCAGATTGGGTGGACTACTTTTTTACAATGTTTTGCATATATCTAGGGCCTAGGACCAAAGCTGTACTAGAAGGATTCCCACCCAAAGCAATAGATGGTGGTTTAGTGGGTACATGTGGGAGAAACACAGCAGAGGGAGGACTGTCTCATTCCTGTTTCTGCAGACAGAAAGAAATACAACAGCAAAAGCACCCCTCTGGATTCTAGCCTATGATGGTAGAATTTACAACTGATTAATAGAAAGTCTGA